TAGTAGTACCTCTTCGGGCTCTAGTATACCTTCTTCTTGCTACGTGTGCGTGTTCTTTAGATCCTCAGATGGCTCTAGCACTTTCGTGACCACGGGCCGAGAGTCTTTGCTAGATTTTGGCATTTAGCAACTGGCATACGGTTTAATGTGAAGTCAACAACAACAACAACACGCGGAAACGACGTACACGAACGTGCGTAGTCATCTGCTCTTTTCTCTCTGCCCCACAGAGCCCGGAAGAGGTTAGCAATGGATTCATGGCCGTCTGTACTGCTGCGATTCCCTGAGGAGCTAGCGACATCTCCCCCGTGGTCACCCAGAGGCTAACAAGTTGTTGTGTACATTTTGTGGCCGTGCGTATCTCGTGCATCTTTACTGGTGCTGTGAATGGTAAACACCGGGCTGGGTGTAACCTTTGTTCCATGCTATTTATCTTACACGAACCGGCCGAAAGTCCATCTCTACCTCCAGGCAATGCACCGATAAATAATCCGGCATAGATTAGCTCTTCCAGTTGTCACCAAGCGAGCCAAACGAGCAGGGCAAAATATACTTGGTCTATAAAAAAACTTCGAGCGTTCGCCGCACGGCACGCAACGGCGACCGGGGCGGGGCAGATATCTGGGGAAAGGTACGTAGTGTTGCGTGACATCAACCACGCAGCAAGCGAAACGACAGACATGGACTACATCGTAGCAATACTGCTGTGTATCGTTGCCGCGGCAATCCCTTACCGCATGTTGAGAAGGCAACGCGGACGGGTGTGGGGTGGACTAGCGTGAACTTGTGTTGACTACCGCCACACCCTCAAACCGCCACATACTTCGAAAGAGGTGGCCCAAGCCAAACTTGGAATCTATCGTGCATAGAATTTGAATGTGGTTTAAGGGCTTGACAGGAGCGTGCACATCACATGTTTCATTGGCACCTGGACACCCACTTGATACCACGCGCAACACATGTGAGTCCGACATGCTTACGCTCTAGGCAATTGCATTCCAAACGGTACAGATTCTTCGGGCAGGGTGGGTAGAGCTACAGCGAGCACAGATTGAGAGAACGAGCAGCACAACCCGTGACCATGCCGACCCTTTCCCCTACGCGAAAAGTGTGCCGGGAATGGCCTGAAAATGGCACCAATTTGTCGCCATTAAGCTAGCTCTACCACTACGTAGTCTAACTCGGGAACTTGACGAAGAGCAGCTTCGATGCATACGCACATCGGACGCCCCGTGGGTTCGCTAAAAACGCACGAGCATGTCCATCACCACTTTACATACTCATTGCTATGCCAATTGAAGTACAAGATCAGATGGAGGATCGGGTGCAGGTTGGTAGACTTTCCCCTCTTGAGCCAGTCACTCTGCGCCGATTTTCCGCGGTGCGATCCAGCTCCGGATGCCCCATCCTGGTTGTTGGTGAAACCTCCAAGAAACACGCATGGCAAGTTGCGAACCTCTATATTCCGACGCACTGGGACTAACTACCCTGCAATGGCTTCCTCCCGCCAATACGTCGTTGTTGTTAGGCTCATCCTACCCTTTGCCGGGATTCGCGTTAATACTAGGAGTGGTAAGAACTGACGAAGGAGACGTTTGAGACCCCATTTCCGCCTCGACGCCATCGAGGCATGAACGTGCACCTGCCGTCTGGGAGGTCCCGAACACAGCATACATTGGGGAAGGAGTCAGAGAGGGCGGGGGGAGGGGCTAGTGACCCATTAATCACACATCAAACGTACCATACTAAATAACAAGGATTCACGGGGTAATGTAGGCAGGGCAGCCTTCATGAGGTTGCCCGCCGAGGGATGTCATGATTGGGTGTCAATAACCCACCTCGGTCATCTACTTGCATCAACACTACTGAATTGAAGAAATATAACACTGGGTAAAACTGCGGGGTGTCGCAGTCGGGTACCTTTCGAGGAGCACTTTCCACAGTGAAGCAGTTCACGGTAAGCATGAAAATATATTAGCATTAGGAAAACCCCGTGCACGCCGGAGGGCTACATTGGGGACATGCTACCGATCATGATGTGCATCAGGGTCGCAAGGAACGGCGCTTGAGGCGTCTGAACTCGTTCCAACGGCTTCAGGCCGCCGCATGTGTGTGTATACCAACAATGGTTTAGTGGAAGAATACACCCACTCGTCCTTGGCTTGGGACTTTTCCACGATCCCGACACAATGCAGAGTGAAGGAGGTCAAGCTGCGATAATCACCAGCAGCAAGAGGTGGTACGAATAGATACCTCGGACACGAGAGGCCTGAGGCTGTAGCTTCCTCGAGGCAACGGCGATAGGGTCGAGTTGTCCTGCTTCGAACGCGGCGCCATACCGGAGGGTTCCTACCGACACGACACGGAGGATATACAGCGCAGGGGTCGGGGTATGGTGGAGATGTTGAGGAGAATAGATACAGCGCAAGTCGAAACGGCAACCGAGTCGATGGGGCATCCTCGACGATAAGATTAGCATTTTTTGCGATGCTCGCAATGCGAAGAAAACACCCGACCGATCGCACAGCAAATGTAAAGAGGTCCTGCAAACTTGTCGAAAAACTGAACCGGCTAGACTCACGCTATCGTACAAAAACCAAAGGCAAGAACAGCCGGCGAACGGCAGTGATATCAGACTAATTCTCGACGGAAAGCTCACCTGCTGCTGCTGACAGCGGCGGGCTTCTCGCTCCAGTCTCAATATGTCCCTGCCCGCCTTTCTCATCTCGGTGTCATGTGCTAATCTTAACCGTCTCAGCGCCTCCGAGCGCTCCGCCGTTGCCCGGGTTGCTGCGTCTTCTGCCTTGGCAACGGCCTCCCGACGCAGCTACCGTAGTAAGTTAACCGATCGATCGAAAGCGAGAATTGCTATGGTTGGCGTGCGCACCAAACAGAAACAACGACGTGCGAACACTTGGATTTCAGCTCAAGCACGACAATCACAATAAATCAGCCCTGTGGAACCAACCAAGTCGTCGAAACAGCCAGTAGGAGACGTCCCTCGGAAACATGAACACACCAGCTCCAGCAGAATGGTAGGTGACACCTCGCAGCCCTACAACGAAAACCACGCTGTGAATGCGCTACGGACGCCAAACCTCTTGCATCTCCTTTTCCCATTTTCGCCGGGCAGCTTCGAAGAGGCTTTTCTTGTCCTGATGAACACGCAGGAGGGCGGCCCTGTGTTCCTCCTGTGGAGTCAGCAAGTACAAGATATGAGCAAAATCAATCGGCAAATACAGGGAACTATCTGAGGGTCGATTTGCAAAGGATCGGCCCATGACCAATCCACTTGTCTTGTGATTAGAGCTTGATGGACGCACTGCTTGGCCAAGACGAAATCACAATGGTCCAATCCTCCTATTGCCAAGCCGGCATCAACTCGGCGAGTTCTACGGCCAAGGCCTCCTTGCCGGTGTTTAGCGGAAAAGGATGCGCTGCGTTTGAGAGTATTCCAAAGCGTGGTTTTCTACAAGTGCATGTTTTCGCACTGGCTTCAAGAGTCAACAGAAATCCGGCGACGAATTGCATTCGCGTATTTTCGTGACATAGCCGTGGCAACTGCCTCTCGTACCTGTGAGCATTCTTCCGTGTCGATGCTTTCCTCGGGCTTTGAAAATGTTCCAGTTTTCAACAGGTTTGGGGAGTGCTAGTTGCAAATTCCAACTCTACCACAAGCTACCGTACATTCATTGATGAAAAGGTAACACCAAAGCGAAACATATGGTTCATCGAACAGACCTGAAGACGCTCTGTCTCCTCCGCGTGCGTGGCCCGGTCTGTCTCCGCCTTGGTCCTTAGGTCTCGAAGCACGGCCTCTTGGGCCTTCTGGGCCTTCTCCACCTCCTGCGAGAGGGGAAACGATGCCGACAGGCCTCCTCTTGTCGGGTATTTCCTTGGAAGTCTTGTTTCATGTAGTAGATGAAACAACACGAGCCCACCTTTCAGCTTCAACACTAACGTTTTGATGGGTTGGCTGCCTACGCACAACCCAGCAAACGGAGGCTCAAAGTCCAACGGGAAAAATAACTCGAAGCGAGCCACAGCAATGAGAGAAAGGATCCAGACCTGAGCGAAAATCGCCAAGGGTGATCGAGAAAGAGGTCCCACCTTGAACGTTCCTTCTTCTGAGCAAAAAACATTGCAAACTTGTAGTTGACCGGGCTTTGGCAGAAAAAAAACTCACCTGGGCAAGAGCCCCTTTAACACCTGCCTCAAGGCCTTTTCTCTTCTCCCGTTCTTCGGCGGCACGCCTCTCGGCCGTTTCAGTCTTGGCTTTCCATGACCGCACCTGGGCGTCGAGCGAGTCCTGGGCGGCTTGGGCCTGCCACGCCGATTAATATTCATAGGCCACAGGGGCGATCACGGCCGAAGACAATGTCGGACCACGGCGAGGTTGAGAACTTTCACGGCAGATAGCAGCTGGGAGCTATGGATGGTTGATGTATCTCGTGATGGCAACCGCGCGATTGAGTGTGTAGTGTTTGTTGTGTGTGTTTTCGTCCTATTTATTATGGCGACAGTCCCCCCATTTTCGTGGTGAGACGTGTACTACACTTTTCAGTGTATTTTTTTCGTACAACTACTACCATCCAGGGTCAGATTGAGTGCCATGGAATGTAGACATTGTTGCGACGAGAGCCACAGAAGCAGCCCGCACGGCGAACGTTTCCGTGGGTGAACGGCGTCCGCCCTTCTTACATGGGGGCAGCAAACACCAGCACAGGTACAGGTGTAGCAGGTAGTGCACAGCCATTCTAACACGTAGTAGTACAATGCTGTTTGGCGCCTTACGCCGCCACGCTGAGAGAAGCGTTCAGCAAGACTCGAGTTATCGGCGTTTGTTATTATTGGATGGCCGTTTTTGTTGGTGTACTTGTCATTGCGCCGTCTGTCGTGCGGTAGTCTGTTGCGACAGACATCGAAGGGGTGCGAAGGGATGCGTCCCGCGAGGAGTCCACAAAAAAATTGGACACGCGTATAGGCGGCGAGCGAAAATGACACAAAAAGCACGAAGAAACCATGTAGACGAACGGCGGTAAGTTCGGAGATGAGGGGCTTACAGACTGAATGAGAAGGAAACCTCACGGAGTCCTCAATGAAGCGACGTATACGCTCGAACTGCATCGCACGGAGTAGTACTACAGTACATGAAGGATCTTAGCGACCTGCATCCGCTCCCTCCTAGAGTGCTCAGCAAGCAGCAACCGCTTTCTCTCTCGCCTCGACCGCAGTTTGGAACACGCGAAAGTCCGACGAGTCAGGGAGCACACTACTGGCGTGCTAACTAGCGCGGAGAGAAAGAGAGACGGCTAAATCCCTGTGAGAGGCGCATTCACAAGGGACGAATGCATGTGCGGTGGATGGGGAACAGACAGAAGAAAGCGCCAAAAGGTTCCTCGAGAAAGCGAGAAAAAGCGGAAACGAAAGCGGAATGAAGAATATATACTGCTGTGGGACATATGAGAGGGAGAGACAGGCTGCTGTTGTTCTAAGAGCCGACGACAGGCTGGTATACGAGAGGGGAGAGAGAGACTGGCACGCAACACTGTGAAGTGTTTGTCTTTTTTTTTTTTTCTCCCATCATTGGATTCTGTCGCCTGCCCTTCTGGCCCCTAACCTCCACTTCTACCAGCTAGACGACCCAACCGGGGTCACATAGGAGGGGGCGGTTGGACCCCCTCCTGCGGTTCCTGTCTGAGATATTTTTATCGCGAGAAGTGTACAGCAATCTCTTCCCTCGCGAGTTATGAAGTCGATCAAGTCTACTAACAACGAGCTTTGCAGCGCGTCGCTTCCAACGGAGACCAGGATTTAATTAGCGAGAAAAAACTCACTCTGTCGGGACTCGAACCCATGACCTGGCCCTTAGCAGGCTACGAGGCTACCCACTAGACGACCGGGGCGACCAGTGTGTGAAAGGGCGAAAGGTTCCGTGCGACCGAGCCGGATGTGATGAATGAGCCAGACGCAATGAGAACGCATGAGGGAGAAACGGTGAACGGAAAACAACCGCGAGCTCGAACCATCTGGAACAGATGGAAATGAGAACATGAAGCCCTGCGAGGGCCCGAGAAGAGCCGAAAGGGAGCCCTCTCAGCGTAGATCCAGACAGACGAAGAAGGAAGCGACAGAGGGTCAGACCTAGTGCCTCGTGTGAGCGGAGAGCCGCAAAAAATGTGTACAGGGGAGACAGAGCGACAGACGTCGTGTGATCGGAAAGCCGGAACGACCGGGCCATCCAGTCAGTCCATCTCAAAGAGATCGGAATATATGCCTGTCTTCGCTCGAATGAACCTGTGCTTGGAGATAGTGGATGGATCAAACTGAAAAAATGCACACAATAGAGTCTGCAGGCAGCCACGCATGTTTTGCAACACGCGTGTATTGAGTAAGCACTACGCTGCTCCTTAGTGTTCTGTTGGAACGAACAGCGCGTCGTCGAGTATACACCCCAACGGGACAAGAGGAAGCTACATGTGAGCGAAGGGCAAAGATTCCCCGGAAAGAATCGGAGAGACAATAGATGGCCATAGACAGAGAGAGAAAACGAGAGAGAGAGAAGGAGAGGAAGAGAGAGAAGGAGAGAGAGAGAGAAGGAGAGAGAGAGAGAAGGAGAGAAAGAAAAATAGCGAGAGACACCGAGCCCAGCGAGAAACAAAACGAGAACTACTACTGTGTACTGCTCTAGAACGCACAGCGTGTCATACAGCAAGCGTCACCATCAGCAAGAAATCAGGAACGGAGAAAAAAAAAGGTCGGCTGTCAGCGGCCGAAAATCCGGAATGCTGTCCGGAGGGCGGCCCGCTGGAAATGTGGCGCCTGAAGAATGGGGAGCTCCTGGCCGAAACATTAATGTACACGTTCTAAGACGGAGGGTGCTGGTAGGCAGTTGAGGGTGCTGTCGGCGGAGTGAGAGGAGGGGGCGCGAGGGTGTGTGCGAGGAAGAGAGTGAGAGAGCTGCTCAGGTTGCCGAGGTCGGAAAAGTGGAGAATCGGAGAGCGCAGGCGGAGAATCGTACTCATGTCAGAAAAAAGCGGCGACTTGGAGAACGCCGGCGGAAAAAGCGGACAAATCCCTAACACGTCCGTACTTGATGGTGCCGGGTGTGATACAGACAGACAGCAGAGATCTCGTGTGATCGCAAAGGAGTGCGCGAGATCCAGACAGAGAGAGAAGCGACAGAGCGATAGACATCGTGTAACGGGAAGAGTGGCAACGGAGTGCGTGACTTCGAGACAGACAGCGAGCGAACAGACAGACAGACCGCCCATGTATGATCGGAAAGGAAGCGGAAGCATCGAGTCCATCTTCAAAGAGTCCGGTGTGTGGAAATACAATCCGGCCTGTGAGCATGAAACTACAAGTGAGCTGGGAGATATGAGAGATGAATACAAGAGAAATAGAGAGACAGAGAGACAGAGAGACAGAGAGATAGAGAGACAGCAAGACAGAGAGAGAGATAGAAAGACAGACAGACAGACGGACACCGACAGACACCGACAGCCCAGCGTATGATCGGATCGTGTGATCGGAGAGAAAGCGCAAAGGACCGGTGTGCTCAGAAGGACAATCCCGTATAATAAAAAATGTGAGCTGGGAGATCTTAGAGACGAAAGAGAGAGAGAGAGAGAGAGAGAGAGAGAGAGAGAGAGAGAGAGAGAGAAAGAGGCGGACAGTGACAGGGCGAGAGAGAACCAAAAGCCGAGAAGGTGTGTGGAACGAAATTGAATCGAAGTAAGAAAAGTGTGAAAACGATTATTGTGAGAGAGGGCCAATCGGAAATTACTGCTCTGTGAGAGCCCGAAAAAACGGAATACTGAGCTCTCAGCCGTCCACGCGGAAAACGAATGGAACGCTCCCACGGAATTATTAACTGATACAACTCTTACTTGCTTTTACTTCCAAAGTTGGAAAGTGCCGAAACAGCCCATCTGAACGCCCGGCCACTATCTGACACTACAGTGGAAACACTGTTTGTCGAAAGTGGCTGGCACGGTACTCGTGCTGGCTGGAGATGGTGGCCGTGGAATATCACCTGATTTTCTATCTGTGGGGTAGAACGGCAAAAGCGTCGCCATGTCGTTGTGATCGGCTGCGCCCGTGAGCGCGCGAGCATAGCATTCTTGGCACCTTTTTGGCAGCTTCTTCCCTAGCCCGAGCATTTCCTTCCATGGCACGACGAAGCGCGTCTTCGGCGGCTCTTCGAAGCCCTCCCTTTTCCTCGGCCCATCCCCGCTGAAGATCTAGTCTCTGGTGTGCCGCAACAGGTTTCCCGCAGCCATGGAGAAGCATCGAACGCAGGCAAACAAGACGGGCATCAAAACGCTCAACAATACCATGGAGGTGCGTCGCGCACGCCGGCAAGAGCATCGAAGTGTGTGTACATGGAAGAAACGTGCCCGAATCGGGAGGCGTGAAGCTATCCTATCGCGTTCGATTCTGTGTCAAATCGTCATCAGCGCTCCGAAGACAAGGCACATCCGATTCGAACCTTTTCGCACCTTCGTCTCAATCCTTCCTACGCAGCTTTTACTACCTTGTCACGCATAGTACTAATATTACAACAGACAACATTAAAGCTTCAGCGACGCCTACTGTTGAAAGCATGTGAACGACGCGCACCGTCTAGCCATTAGCCGTGAAACAATTGCCTCCCATGCCAAGAGTTCGAACTGAGGGGTAGGTGGAAGGGGCAAGGTTGACGGTCTCACGGAGGACTGGGTGGGGGCGATGAAGTTTAGTACCGGCTGCCCGGACGCCATATTCTCGCTTCCCCACCCCCACCTTTTCGCCCCCGCCAGTACTCACCCCTCGTGTCTGGCTGTTTTCTCTCAGGGAATGCAAGCGTCTGTTGGTATCGAACGTGGCATGCTTCGCCGCTACACTCTAAGTACCATTTTGCCGCTACTCGCCACTCGTACTTCAGCGTCGACTAGGAGGCGCAGGGCTCGAACGATCTCGCTCGATCGAAACCGTTCTGACGTCGTTCACCCTATGCATGTTTCGCCCTTTGCCCAAATATAGAGCAGTTTCGAAGAGCGTAACCGATAATGGTGAAGGCATGCACGGATCAGCCTTGCTAAGTCGCAGAAGACAGGTCGATGGCAAGCTTCTTTTTCACCTGCTTTTCCAGAGCTTCCCTAGAGGCATTCATCCCAGCCTCGGCAGCCGCCCGAGCCTGCCTGCGGCATTTTTCCACTTCAGACTTGGCGGCCGCGGTGTTGGCATTGAGTGATTCTCTGAGTGACGGTGGGTACACAAGGCGAGATAAGGTGTCACACCTCGGTGGAGGTCTTCAAGCCTCTTTCAATGGCGTCAATGAGGCACTGGGGTCCTGAGGATGTAAGTGCGTTGGACATGGCAAAGCACTTAGACGGTATTGCTATGGGAGTTGAAGAGTTTGACTTTTTGCGTTAGATCGAGACGAGGCGCCTTGTCAAGCAATGAGAGTCGTTTCCAAAGGTTGACCAGTTTTCCGAAGAGTTTCTTCAAGCTGAACCCTTTGACATTTTTCCAAGAAACGAAGCCTGAAGTCCAGCATCAACTTGAAAATAGAAATTTCGAAGTGAGTCCGTTTTCAATCACTTCGAGGCACTCCGAACTTCGAAAAAAAGAATGAGTAGGTCGGTGTGAAACGGTCCCACCGAAGCCTCCATTTCCCCGTGGTCACCACTCCGAATTCCGAACATTCGGAATCGTTTGAAACGGTCACGGTACGACAGCCTCCTTTTCCTCTGTGATCACCACTTGCAGCAAGGTGGGTCCCAAAATCATTGCGACTGACCCCTGTCATCGAACTGCGTACCTCTCCACTTTCCAACTCTCCTCTGCCAGATTGAGCTTCGCAACAAGTCCCCTCTCCTTTTCCTCGAACCTTTGCTGAGTCTCGAGAAGCAGCTGCTTTTGTCGAATCCTTTCGTCATGGATTGTTCGACGAGCAACTTGTTGGGCACCCTTCGAAGGGCGAGCAAGAGGTGCAAAGATCAAAAGTGATGTTAGTGCATTTCCAACAGGGAAAAACACGCGGACGCCGGAAGGCATGGTTTCTGTGTCGTAGCCGAAGAACCATGCGGAAAAGGGTTGGATTCAAACAAAGACAACGCTGCTTTCGTCCACAGAAGCACTATCGACGATGAGGACTGGTGATCGGTCGTACCAGTCGCACGCTCCGGAGCTGCTCCTGAAAAAGCCTGGTCTGAGAACGCTCTCTCCTCAAGCACCCTTGCTCTATGCGGAGACATCGCATGGCTATTCGCCTGCTGAGCTCGGCCACCCGGCCGGCGGACTCTTGTTCGTCATCTCCGTCCTCCTCCTCCTCCTCCTCCTCTGAGTGTGCCAGTCCCTCTGCTCTCTCGTCTTCAATGCATTGCCGCTGCTCGTGCTGATCCACTTGCTGCGACGTGCCCCGAGCCATTGCCCCTCTCTCCCGGGAGCCTGAACGATTTCCCACCCTACGTATGCCCAGCGGTGACGGCCAATTGTCGCCGTCGTAGTGGCGGGACGTCTGGGCCCTGTATTTACTGGGGCTGGTGCCACCCATGCTGCCCCCGTGTTTACCGGTGCTGGATTCTCCCCGTTCTTCATGGGCCTCATCGCGGAAGAGGTTGGCGACGTTCTGGCGGAGAACCGAAAAGCGCTCTCCTTGCGGTGTATCCATGGTAGAATAAGAGTCCTGAGAAGACGTCGCGAGTAGCGCCGTCACACCAGAAAAAAGCATTCCAGAAGACAAAGCGTGGGGGCAAGGGTCATGGTGTGACTAGTGAGCGAACGCAAAAATAACGAAAAGCACCTTTTGGTTTTCAAAAGGAATGTTTGGATCAGGCGGCCGCCAGGCAGGAAGGACTTTTAGCGTGTGAATGACCAGGCGTGGTGTTTCGAGGGAAGAGGTCGCGGACAAAGGAATACTCTTGCTGAGCGTTTTCGTTGAGCACCACGCAGCCACGCCTGACAGCAATCGCCGCGCGCATGTATGTGACGGGCTTCATCTCGGTTTGGTAGATGAGTTGTGGTACGCAAATAGAACAAGCGGTCGCGTCGTGGGTGGTACCGTCCTCAACATGGTTGTGAATAGTACGAAACTACGGCAACGATCACCACCTCTTCTGCTGCCGTCTTCCTACAAACCTCCCCGGTCGACGGTGCATCCTCCACCGATTCTAGCACCCCACGCAGAACGCTCTCTGCGTCCCGCAGGGATTGGAGTCTCCGGCGCTGTGCCTTGTCCCGTTTCCTCTCGGTGATTGCTTTGGCACGCGCACTACACCCTTTACGGGCCGTTCGTCGTGGCGGTGGCACGTGTGTGCCTTGAGTTGCGCAATTTTCTTGGACACAAGCGTCGGCTTTTTCCTCGAAACGAGTGGTTGTTCGCCTTCCTGTCGGTTGCCCTGGTCCTCTTCCCCGCAAGGACGAATTGCCGCCGGGGGGCACGGACTTTCCTGCGGGACTGCCCGCTAGATGCGCAGCTTCGGCGGCGAAATAATCATAATTTGCAGCCCTCCCATTCGCTTTGGTGACTCGAGGCGACGCCGTTGGTGCTGTTCGTTGTACAACAACGGCGTTGTCGGCTTCAGGAGGACACCGTGCTTGCCAAAACCGCTCCTCTTCCGCGTAGGAGTATTGTTCTGCAGCGTGCTGTCTAGGCCCAAACGCTCCCGCGTCACCAATGATGCCCCCTCGCGCGTTCGGCTTCCCTTTTCGTTCGACAACCACGCTGCCAGTCCTACAGAAGGATGGTGAGATCGCAGGGGGCTACCGAAGTTGAGAAGGATTCGTGTTGCAAACTGGGACGCCTACTGTGCACTGCGGCGGCGAACCCCAGATACGCACGTCGATGGCCGCCGGACCACCGCCGGCTGCCACGGCGAGAACGACACGAAGGATTCACAGTTTTCATTCAGACCCCGGCATAAGTCTTCGATTCCCGGAGTGGCACACTGAACCCTCATACACCACGAGAAGTACCTCGACTGTTACCGTTCCGTTTGGCTGTTTGTGCTATCTCAACGCCACACCATGGAACCCATGATGTTCCATCGGTGCTACATCTGCTGGTAAGCATGTCCACTCGCTAGTAGAATCGCATTTTTTCCCACCTGTGCAATCTGATGACATGAGTAAGGTTGTCTCCTGTCTCCAAGTCGTGGCCTTTGGGCTTTGGTTCAGGTGACGTCGATCGCGTTTCCGACCACTGCGAAATTGACAAGACGGCTGCAGTAAGGTGTCGGCTGGCGCCACGATATTGCACAAGAAAAAAACTGCTGTGCGTGGAGGAAGGAGGAGTCAAGATGAAGAGAGTGGTGTGCTTTGTTAAACATCGAAGTACTTGCTTCGCAGGGGACGTTACACTTGCCCAATCTCAAAGCATCCAAACGTCGACGAGTAAATTGAGTTGTGAAATTCCGATTTGTAGCTGGAACATATTGCTGCCGCGGGTGCTACCGCCCATAAAATCAATTTACTCGTCGCGAGAGCCTACTTTGTCTAAACCGTCCTTGGTACCAGGCAGAACATCCCTCGACGTGTTGCCTTGGCGTTGACATGAAGCGATGGATTCCTCACTCACCGCTTGCCCTATTGGCGGGTGCATCCCGTCGGGATCACCCGCTAGCTTGGTCGTCCGTAGCGTCGACGAGACATTGTCTGTGCAATCCCCGGCCTCGTCGGGTCCTACGTTGACGGCACCCAGGTCGAGGTCATCCAGCATCCCTGGATGGTGTTCTGGCGAGGGACTGGCCGCACTCCTATCCCTATCGCTCTGCCTGTGGGTAGTGTCGCGAAAAACACATAACATGTTCTCCTCAAATATCCCAGTGCGTTGAATTGACAGGCATCCGAATGTTCTAATTGTCCTCTCCCTCCATCCCAACTCTGTTCTCTGATTTTGACATTATCCCTTATCGTATGAGTGAAGAATGTATCATAAAACCTCGCGGGAAAGCTACATGTAGCGGTGGACCTAGCGGCCAACAGCATCGTCTAGACTAGCCCGTGAGCGTCAGAGCTCAAGTTTCGAGATTCAGAGACGACGGGCGAATTTCTTCCACACTTACACCATCGGCATGCAGCGACAGTAAAATTGGACGGCACGACTCCACTGGTGCACACCGTGCACCGTTTAAGACGCCGTTGTGCCAATGATACTGCTGTCGTGCCAACGCATATTAATGTTGGGTCGCGGTGGAGTTGGCAGATCTCTGAAAAAAGAGTAGAAATCGCCCCCTTGGTTTCCCAAATCTAACTCCGGTACGAATCTACCATCGCACACTAACCTTCCACAAATGTCGCTTATGTACAATGCTAGTAGCTCAGAAACGACCGATATGCGGTCCCAAAGGATCCTTTGATAATTGAGATCGGAGAGTTACAAGCAGGATTTTTAGAAGCTGCTCTGCGGTCCGATTTTCGAAAGCTACAAGCACCTTCATTGCTAGACTTACATATGCATGACCCAAGACATTCAAATCGCCTAGGACGACGAGCACGATGTGTAAAGGAAGGGCTGCGCTGAATTTCGCGGTCCCACACACTCACGTAGGCTCTGATTCGCGGTCAGTGTGCTTAAGGCGTTCGAAAATCGGACAGCACACTAAATGATATTAAAAATCCTCATTGCAGCTCACCGATCTCGATGATAATGCATCCTTTGGGGAAATCGCGCACCGTAAATCGGGAGTGTATCACAAGAACTGCAATCTTAACTACTGACATGGTACACAAGCGACATCCGCGGACGGTTAATGTGTGATGGTAGATTCGCAGTGGAGTTCGACTCGGGAAAACCAAGATACTGAATGCGGCGTTTCCTGCTTTTTGTAAGAGGATATCTGCCATCTCCACCGCGTGACTATCTATCGTACCTCGTTCCCCAGACGATGTCATTTTCTGCGTTCCCCCTGTTAGTGGAGTATGCCAGGCCATCCCATGCCGGCAAAGGCTGTAGAGCGGCCTCGAAGGCATCGGCACCACCATCACTGTCGTCCGCGTTGTTTTGAAAGCCACCGCAAGACCCATCCATCCAGTTGCTATCCCATGATTCGCAGAAGGTGCCCATTTGCTGAAGCTGACAACTGGTCACGAGATCCAGGCTTAGACCGGTACAAATGCATACTATAATAGTAGTCTAGATGCCCGGCGCGAGCGCCGGCGCAATGTACTTCTGCTGCTACGGAGGTCCACGTGCACGTTACACTGCTGCTGCTGCGGTCCTTCATGTTAAGGACAAGCAAGACCCAGTCAGTGCCTCGCACATTGTTGTCGGAGCGTGTTAAGTTGCTGTCGTTATGGTCCACCGGGCGGCAGAGTACACAACTACTGCTCTGTGGTACGTAAATAGTCTGCAAGACAGGAGGTGTGTAAATTGCGGTACAACCACAACTTCTGATTGCAGCAGGCTGTTGTACGCCCAGGACACTCGGGGTGCAACGAGATATCCAAAGACTCGGGGGAAGGCATACACCAGAGGCCACACAGGCAGCAGCGTTAGATAGCAATAGCGAATCAGAGTGAATCTGTGTACGTAAATCGTTAAGGTTGGCGTCTCGGAGGGGTCATTGGGCAACATCTGGAGAACCAACCGAGTAGAGGAAACCGAAAGATCGCATCCCTCACCTGCCTGTCTGTGCCGTCACAAGGCGAGTTCTTCCCCCAGTTTTCCTCACTGCAATGGCAATATTCGTCGCAACCTATCCGCACCCTCCCTAACTCCCCCACCCTGTCTCAACCCGGAGAGACACCGCGGCTTTCCCAAACACTTAAGTCGACAGGACGATCTGTCTGGGGAGTTGCAGGACATCATGGTGGGATTATGGTTTGGGGTTTGGGTTTTTTGTTGTTTTTCACTCTCTTAGACTCTAGACCGATTGCCCCCACGGAACGCAGCTCCCAGGACGATCCCGAGAGGCGGCATAGCTTCTGTTCCCCTCGGCTGCACCTTATCCGGCCCAGTAAGCGGTCATTTGGACAGTTTCATCCCGACTCCTGGAACTATAGTACTTCTGGAGAGCGCATGGGCGACAATTTTAGAGCAGTAGCGCGCAGTGGTGGCGTGCCGAATATATAGTGTATGCCGGTCCGGGAGACCTCCAGCATAACGGTGGGGAAAAGGGGAGCGACCGTCCGTGTATCTGACCAGCTTCGATTGACCTCGCATATTGTTTTTCCATCGGTTTGTATGGATAATGAACGTCTTCATGCAACAGCAATCTGTCGTGGCGAAGATTTCATGGGTATTATTGTACGATAGGCTATCATGTACGTGTAGACTGGTACTCTCCAGGTTGCTGTAGACGCTAATGTTCATACCGTCGTTTCTCCGCAATCACGGTGACGAATATTTACTTCCGTACTGTAGTCTATACCACGGCTACACGAAGCTCTCACCAGAGAGACAGCATCTGTAGAATGGTGCCGCGTTGAAACGCACCACCATCGCTTTTGTCAAAGCAGTGTAGTCTGTAGTCGATACATCCACAACAAATGATATTCCCACTTTCCCCCCCAGCACGCGAGACCTGCCCCCCGCCGGTATGGTGGGGCGGGCGGGCCAATACCCCTTGTATAAATAACCATCGTCTGGACGAAAAGACAACAAGGAGATCTTCGTGATGTTTTTTTGTTGTTTGATGTATGCATATGATGCAGCAGTTTGTCCGTGACCACAACGGCGCACCCACATGATACCGCGGACCCGGGAGAAATTTATCCGTAACTTCTACACGGCTTGCGTACCCTTTTCTTGCCAATAGTGTGTGTGTCCTGCAGATGTTCTGATGATGGCTCTAGCATTTTTGTGACCACGGACCGAGTCTTTGCTAGATATTGGGATCATTAGCAACTGACACGAGTTTAATGTGAAGAAAAACAACAACAACAACAACACGCCAGGCACGGGAGGGGTTCCAGAGGCGGTACTAACCCCGAGAGCAGCAGCAGGGGTGGAGGGACAGGACATACTCGTACGCATAACGCGAGGTAATCGCCGAAACCAACCCCATTGGAAGCGCTCACGTCCCCCGACACTTGCGAGCGATGGGTGGCCGGTCATACGGGAGAAAGCACGGCCAGCACTCCTACCAGTACGCTTCGATCGGTCGCGAACCGGCGGCCGCGGCGGTGGTAGGAAACGACGAGGCGCGGCGAGAAACCATGAACAGAAGAAGCTCGTCTCGGCGGGGACTGGCAGCTATTGCCGTTTGTGTTGGCTTCGTCACCGCGGTCACCCTTTTCGCCAAGGTCTACCCACAGCAGTCGACAGGAAGCTCGTACCGCGGGGTGCTGAAGGTAGGCTGGAAGGACGTGGTCGATCTGTGGTTTGTTGTTGTTTCTCTTCACATTGAACTCGTGTCAGTTGCTAATCCCAAAATCTACAAAGCAAAGACTCGGTCCGTGGTCACAAAAATGCTAGAGCCATCTGAAGATCTAAAGAACACACACACTATTAGCAAGAAAAGGGTACACAAGCCCGAGGAGGTACACCTACCATCTCGTGGTGCTAGTGGACGCCAACGCACGCACTGGTAGGAGGCGAGACGGGTGCTGCGATGCCAAGATTATGGGCGCGTACGGACGCGACATTATGAACAACAACGGGGAACGACTCCTTGGACTGGCGTCAGACAACCAACTCTCCCTGACCAACACCTACTTCCGGACACCGAAAGGTGGAGTGCAGCACACATTCCAGAGCTCCAACAAGGGAAAGGAGAAGTACCGCCTCGACTTCATCCTCATGCGTCAGGCGGACCGGCGTTTCGTGCGCAATGTCTCCGTCAAACGAATCGACTTCAAAGACTCTGACCACAACCTCGTGCTTACGACTGTCCGCCTTCCCCCCGTGTCGCACCCAACCGATGAGTGCGGGGGAACAGCGGAAGCAGCCGGATCCGTATCGACCTCGAGCGGTTGAGGAAGGACAAACACCTACGGGACGCCTTCCAAAACAGGGCCTC